CATTTTTAAAGTGCTAAAGGAATCATATCGTGGCAAAAACGTTACGGCTAGTTTAAGAAATCTGTATTCTCCGGTATGATAAATGTGCAATCCCAAATTAACTATGAAATGAGAAAATGGAATTTAACTTTTATTATATTGTATCACCGCCCCCGCCCCCCTCTACTATATATACTCTATACTGTGCTATACCCTACCTTATCTTTTTTTCAATCGTTAAAATTAATTATTAAATTAATCTAAGCAAAATTAATATATTTACGAAAACTACAATTAAGACATATCTAGCACGTAAAAATTCATAGTCACAGTAGTATAATTGACATAATCATGCATAATTATGTCTCGTTGGTCTAGTGGTTGTAGTAGTGCGACTACTGATCATGAGGTCCTGGGTTCGAATCCCGGGTCAGGCCTAAAAATTAATTATTGAGTTTTTCCGTCAAGAAACTCTCAGTAGTTGCCCGGAGTCAGGAAGTTAGCGGTGTCTCACCCCGGTGCCTCGAAAAGCAAACCCTTCGCCACTCTCCGGTCGTGTCGGTTTACCGTCCCATCGGATTAGGAGAGTGAGAGAAGAGAGAGTGCACCTGTGCTTGCACATACACTTGGGCACACATAATCCTGTCCTACGCCGATGGCTAGCCTCCGTTGAGGTAGGCCGCCGTGGCCGAAATTCGGTCTGGAGGACATTATTATTATTCCGGGGTATCTATGTAGTTTTCTCATCTGGGTGGGTTCCATAAATATATAATTGCGAACGAAAATGATAAATATACATAAATAACAATAAAATAAAATAAATACATAAATAAATAAAAGCCCAACCAGATGGAAGCCCTCGGCAGGGGAGACCAAACGGCCGAGGGTTAGGGGGAAAGGGAACGAAAGGGAAAGAAAAGTATCGAGGAGCACCGCCTTCTGAATTTGAACCCGGAGCAGTCCGTCACGGAGTCCCAGTCGCCTAAGATGACCCGAGAGGCTGACTGGGATTAGCCCGTTTGCAGAAACGACTACAGGTATAATTTCGGTCGACAGCCCAACCCACATGTCGGTCACCTCGTGAGCCAGGTCCTGATATTTTGTTCGCTTATCCGTTTCGGCTTTCACGAGGTTTTCGTCATACGGAATGGTAATGTCGACCAAAAATATCCTTGACTGTGCCCGGTCCATCAGCACAATATCAGGCTTATTCGCAAGAATAGTCCTGTCTGTGATGATGGCCCGGTCCCAGTAGAGCCTGGCGCGGTCATTTTCGAGCACGGCTTCCGGCAAGTACTTGTAATACGGCAGTTTCCGGTCCACGAGACCGTATTTCAGAGCGAGCTCCTGGTGTAGAATTCTGGCTATTATTATTATTATTATTATTATTAATTATGTATAACTATTTTATGATATGATTTTCACGAAAATTTACAATATTATTTATTCGTTGCCTTAATCATTTTGTTACTATGCCTATCACTTATCTAGTTCGGACAATAATGATATATAATATTCTTTTAATTTTCGTGGTCTTCTACATTTCAATATTTTAAAATATTCAGTTTTCCCCATATTTACTTCATTCTTAGTAAACCATTATTTATTTTCCATTTTAATTCCACAGCACTTTAGCTATTCTAAATTAGATAATAATTGTGCCATTTCTTTCACGTACACGACTCGCGTACATATATATGATCAAGACAATAGCCAATATTATTGCATATACTTCTTTACATTTATGGTATTTTATTATTCATTATTTAATTTTACCATAACTTTCACGTACACGGCTCGTACATGATCAAGATTGTGGACAACATTCCTATACAATTCATTATAAATTCTCATTCCCTTAATTAAAACTCATTACGTCTTTAATCGCATCCGAACAATCTTAAAAAAATTTATCGGTTATTAGGTTTTCCAAACTTTCAGCTGATCAGGCTGATTATATGTAGATATGCTAACCTGTGATAATTTTTCTATACCTTACTCTCACAATTCCACACCATTAATATTTTTCATTTATAATTACGTATTCCGTAACGTAGCCATAAATTTACTTACGTCTTTTACAAATTTATTTCATACAACATCGCATAATATTTAGTTACATCACTGTCAGTCAGAGATTGAGGCTCACAATATGGGCATAACAAAATTTAAATCAACTAATTTTTACATTATGTAATTAGTTTCAAAATCGTATAAAGCGAAGTAAATATTTTCATAATTCATAGAAATAAATACTATTTTCCCAGAAAATAATAAATAATAATAGTTAAAAGCTAGTTAAATGTTCAAACAATATAAAACAGAAAATAAATTACTACATCTCATATTAAAATTAACAGAACAAAGAAATAATAATGGGAACATAAGTTGTAACCACTATCATAACAACAGTGCATGAAAAAGTAGAATACCTCATTGTTTTAGAACAACATAAAATAAATAAATACCATCCTATAACGCCCAATAATGTGCTACCTACAATAAGTATGTAAGTATCATAAAATATATATATATATATATATATATATATATATATATATACATGTAAAAGAAAAGAGCGCCATTATCACCAACAAACAGTTGCACAGTTTGGCATTAATTATTATTACTGTAAATGTGTGTTTTTATACGAATAAAGGTATTAAAAACAGACAGATCAAAATACAAATGGAACTCTTAGCAGCGCTAACAATTTGAGACACCTTTGTTTTAAATTCGAAAGTAAGTATATGGAAACGTTTACGATTACATCGAACTACGATCACACGGTGTGATTCACACCTAATTTTAATTCATACCTAATAATAATGTATTACTTTCTGTAAAGAAATATCTCGCTTAAATTGTGTGTAATGAAGCAACCAACACATTCCCAAAAGGTCTTTGGTAAATTAAAAATGAACCTGTATAACAAAATATGAATTTATTTAAAATATTGAAAAAAGAACAATTTTATTGCCATCAAAAACATAACTTGTAAAAAGAAGAGGGCCAAGAAATCAGTTATTTAGTTTTTCCGTCAAGAAATTCTCAGTAGCTGCCCGTAGTCAGCAAGTTGGCGGTGTCTCACACTCTTGCCTCGAAAAGCCATTGGTCCTGCGCCTTATCTCTCTCCTCTCGTGTCGGGTTTCCATCCTATCGGAATATGAGACTGAAAGAATGGACAGTGTAACTGTGTTTGCACTTACACTTCGGCGCTATAATTCTGTCCTGCGCTGATGGCTAGTCTCCGTTAAGTCTAGCCGCCGTGACCAAAATTCAGACTGAAGGACAAATTTCAGCACGGTCGACCAATTTTGAGAGGTGAAGAAAAAATTGTGATCCTTTGACGATTGTAACAAATAAAAAGTAAAAAGTTTTATTTATATGAATACGCTAATTACATATGAAGAGACTCAGCATGTATGGCAGATTGTACGGCATTAATGAGATTTTATTCAAACATCTTCGGGAGCAAATAAAAAAAGCTTACACATGAAGTGCAGTAATTATAGTTATGTATTATAAAATTGCATATATATATGCAATTTTGTAATACATAACTATTATAAAATTGCATATATATGCACTAACTATATAGTTATTATTATAAGATTGCATGATTATAGAATATGACCTGTAGATTCTGACGTTAATTAAAAAGAACGGGAAGTACTTTCGTTTTATCCCTATACAGGGTTGTTTTGTAATAAACGGCAGAGAGTGTTCAGTATAGTTAAAATATAGACAAATGGTGAAGAAGAATTAATTAAAAAAATCGCATACCTTCTGTCCCTTTTATCTTTTAAATTCAGAATGCGTGGTACTAAGATGTTTTATAGGTATATATAGGTAGGGACCTATAAAATATCTTTGGCGTGGTAATGTATTATTTTAACTGATTTAACTCCACACGCACACATTCGTAAGGGTCTATCGGTAAGCAAAAATGTTGTTGCCCATAAATCACATTCAGTTTGTTATATAATTTGATAGTTTCAAATAAAAGTAGAAGCCATATTTATTCGTAGTTTCAGAAAATGCAATTACGGTTTATATTATTTAAAAATGTGTACTTAAGTTTAAAATTTGGCTACCCTTTGAAAATAACCCTGTATAGAATTTATTTAATATAATATGGGTGACAAAGGAGCATAAAGTCCACCTGATGGTAAGAGAATGCTGTGACCCATGGATCTATATTTTTCCTCGATTAAAAATGAAAATGCAGATGTGTTGTCACCCCTAATGAGTAAAATGGAATGTCTCGCTTACAGTAAAATGAGTCTCCGGTTCTCTAAACTCACCACACGAAACACAGCAGCTTTAAGCTGCTATTTTACGCTGGTATTGTGAGAGCATGGTCCTAGCCCGGTCGAGCCGACCGATTCGTGCTACAACTAATGTAGCTGCACGTGGCTCTACTACGACTACGTAAGTGGATACTGTAGCGCAGAAATGTCTACTTCTTTTATAAATCAAAATGCAGATACGCTGTCACTGCTGAGGATTAAGATAGAATGCCTCGATTTCAGTAAAAAGGTATCCGGTTCTCTACATTCACCATACGAAACACAGCAGCATTAAGAGGCCGCATAATGCTGTTTTGGTGATATTGATCAATCTGGATCTCGGTATCTGTAAGACCTAACAGTTTGCTATTTGGACACATTAAACCTGGACTTATAATCTTCAAATCTGTTGAAGCAAAAACACGATTCGATAAAAAATTCTCGATAAAAAAAAAATATGAAAAACCCTCGTTTTGCACTTATTTTTAGTTAGATCTCTGAAACCTTATGGAATTGAATGATGATTTTTAGCTAATAGATAGATAATAATGTTATCTCAAATCGTGACGATTTTTTCTAAACTCGTGATTTAATTCTAAACGAGCACACTCTCTTTCTGTCTCTTGTTTTGTACGTGGTAGCAATAGCGCTATCCTTTTCAATTTGTTCAATCATTCTGCTGCGGCATCTATTACGGGACGAATCTATGTTTGGCGACATTACGGAGAGATGACTATTTATTTCCGACATTTTTATTTTGTATTGTGGTAGGTGTTACTGTAAAAAGGAGTTTAAAACGTTTTGTGTAAATATATTACCTATATTTAAAGTGTAAATAAAGATGGCCAAAAAGAAAACTCTCGGAAAAAGAAAACAATTAAAACGTCTAAGAGAACAACTCCGTATTTTGAACGAAGGAAAAAAAAGTAAGTACCTATCTAACTACCGATATAAATAACGGTATCAATTTAATTTTCATTTTTAATTTTTTTTTCTTAAAAAAACGTTACCCCCACTCTAGGATTTTCTCCTGTATCGTGGAGGCAGTTTACAAACATAAATTGCACGAGGACAAGCACCCTGACCCGGAACAATTATTTGTAGGCCACACAAATACTTGTTCCCTGCGGGATTCGAACCTGCGGCCCCCAGCGCAACAACTCATTGCTAAGCCACTGCGCTACGGAGGCCGTCAAATTATTCTTTTGTTTACGTAGCTTCTTAGGTATTTCGAATATGTATAGAACCGAACACGAAGGATCGGTTTGCGAATCATTTTTCAAGTTTCAACCTTATTGCAACGAGATAAAGCTCATGTCTAGTGTCACGTCACGTTGCTGCTGGCTGTTGATAAAGTTTAAATTCGTTTGATGTGTTGCAAAAACGTTTTGTAATTTTATTGTTACATATTAAGTTTGTTTATGTTTATATAAGATCAATCGGGGTGTTATGATAGGTACCACTCGTAGTTTCTGATACCCATGATACAGGGAATAGGTATCACTGTGGGGTTAGGGATAGGTTTTGAATGTTGTGGGTTATGTTATGTTACTTTGACTGCCTCATTGGTCTAGTGGTTGTAGTAGTGCGACTGTTGATCATGAGGTCCTGGGTTCGAATCCCGGGTCGGGCCAAAATTTTTTTTTGTAAATAAGTTGAAATTTATAAAAGATCAACCGGTGTATTATGAGAGGTACTACCCGTAGTTTCTGATACCGTCAAGAAATTTTCTGTAGCTGCCCGGAGTCAGGAAGTTGGCGGTGGCCCACCTCCTTGTCTCGGAATGCACGTAAAGCCGTTGGTCCTGCACCTGATCTCTCTCCGGTTGTGTCGGTTTACCGTCTCATCGGATTATGAGGGTGAGGGAATAGAGAGTGCACCTATGCTTGCGCATACATTTGCGCACTATAATGCTATCCTGCGTCGATGGCTAGACTCCGTTGAGGCAGGCCGCCGTGACCGAAATTTGGTCTGGAGAATAGTATGTTACTTTATTTTATTATGACTATACATTTGCAGAAAACCAAACATTTCATTCATTGAGCTTGAGAATGTGACGAATAAAACGGCGCCCACGGTATTAGAGAATGGACTGCACGAAGACGGATCGGCACGCGGCGCGAGCGACTCGAGCGGCGCGCCGGCGGTGCCCACGTCGTTGTCGGCGGCGGTGGCTGGCCATTTGGAACAGGGAAAAGGGGACTCGTCGCTATCTATTGACAGTACGGACAAGTAAGTATTTACATAAATAAATACATATAAAATAAATAAGTAAGTAAATTTTGAATCCCTGTTAGTATTTCTTTCTCTAACTGCCTCGTTGGTCTAGCGGTCGCAAACGCTACTGTTGAGTGAGAAGTCCTGGGTCGGGCAAAATGGTATTGGGTTTTTCCATTAGTAATTTCTCAGTACCAGTCCGGAGTCTGGATTTGTGCTCGATTAGTGGCAATAGGCTCGCACTTTATTACATGAGACTTATAACATAAATGGCGAAATGTGGGTGCACTATGCACCTCTACCTACCCTTTCGGGGAATAATGGCGTAATGCTATGTATGTATATATGTATGTAAATTTTAATGAAACATGGTTCAATCTTTTCAACCATGTTTCATTATTGGAATGAAAATTTTACAATGCTATAAGTACTCGTATCCTACCTAAATGCGAAGACTTGGTTTATGAGAATCAAAGGTAGACCTAATACAAATGAATGCATCGATAATATTGTACTCGTATTTTTACTGACTTCAAAAATGAGTAGGATATTCTCGATCCGACGTTTTTAGGGTTCTGTACCAAAATGGTAAAAAAGAAACCCCTATGGTGTGACTTTGTCTGTCTGTCACAGCCGTATATTTCAGAAACTACTAATGTTATCGACTTGAAATTTGGAGCAGTTATATACAAAATGCTTGGATACTGTTATTGCTAATGAGAAAAGTTCAAAAATATTTTTATTTTCACTGCAAAAGGCCCCGAAGAGGGGGTTTGGAATTTTAAAAAGTTACTAGGTATAGTATGTAGCGTATATATGTGTAGTGTGAGTGACATTAGACGAACTGTATCTTTTCACTAATATATCCATAAATATCGGTTGTGCTTTGAATATGTTTTTTTAAATGTTTTATATGAAATACATATTTTAAAATAAATTTAATAATATTATGATAATAATATCACACATATATTTTAAATTATAATAAAGAAAACAAGATTTTTGATGTAGATTTGTATTTGTATAGATGATGTAAATTTAATTGTGTAATGTCTCTGTCCTAGTCTGTCCTGATACTATAATCTGACATCTGTCCCCGCACCATGCTACAGCGCTAGCAATGTAGGTAAAGTGACATATTATATGAAAGGTATTTGGACATGGGAACGTATCGGAGCTATTCAAAGATATACTATTGTTTCAAAACATTCATGCATTATTATTATTGTCTGCTTTATAGTTTATGTAATAATATGTATTACTGCTGTAGGTTTCCAGACGAAGAGCACACGTCAGATAGAAATCATGCAGAAATCAATGAAGAATCAGACGAAAGAAGAATCATAGACCTTAAATATTTTCTAAAAGAATTAAAAACAATTTCGAACCACTCAACAGCCTTCGGTTGCGGTATAAATAATTTGGAGTTGATAGGGGAGAAAAGGTTAGGTTTGATTTCAAAATTAAAACTTCAAATGCAATATGTGTAATGTTGAATTTACTACACATACGTCCAAACCTAGTCCAAGCGACAATTTGAATGTAAATACTGCCGTAGTAACGAGTGCTGCTATTACAGGTGTAGGATATACACAATTGCAAGAAATATTTACATCAATAAATGTTCCGTTTATGACAGAAGTTTTTTATAAGAAAATTGATAATCGAGTTAGTGAAGAATGGGAAAAGTTAGCCACAATTGAAATGGAAGCTGCGGCTGCTCGTGAGAAGCAAAGTGCATTGGACGAAGGCAGAGTCAATTCAGATGGAATCCCCGTCATAGACGTGATCGTTGATGGTTGCTAACGATATTTAACAGTGGTAGAGCCACGCGGCAGCTTTGCTGTCGCACGTATGGGCCGGCTCAAACCGGGGTGGTACCACGACCTCACAGAATACCGGCGTGAAGTGGAAGCTCTGCTTCCGCGTTTCGTCTGGTGAGTGCAGGTGGCCGGAGGCCCAAATCCCCCCCCCCCCATCAACATGGTAGCGGAATTAAATGATAGACTACCCCAGGAGGGTACCAGCACCCCTGGAGAATCCCTCGCTGAGCATCCACGACCATGTTTCTCCACTTCTGAGCGTGGGTGCTCAGGCTGCCCCGCGTATTCTGGGGGGGCAATATTCCGCTCAAGACTAAAACTGCTCGGGGCAAACGGAGCAACAAGACCAAGGCGACCCCTGCCACGCTGTCCGTGAATTTCTGCAATATCAGGGGACTTCACTCTAACCTAAACGCCGTCCACTACCATCTCGAGACGGCGAGGCCGGCTCTGCTCTTTCTGACCGAGACGCAGGTGTCCTCTCCGGCTGATGTCTCGTATCTCTCCTACCCGGGGTACAAACTGGAACACTCCTTTGTGCCTCGGGCTGGAGTTTGCGTTTACGTCAGAGAGGACATCTGTTCTCGACGCCTCGGCAGACTTGAAGGTTCGGACCTGTCCATCCTTTGGCTACGCGTAGACAGCGACGACCATCCGCGCGTCTACGGGTGCCTCTATAGGTCCCATAGCGGTAATGCCGAAACAGACCGACTCTTCGACCACGTCCAAATGGCTGCAGATTCGTTGCTACAGCAGATCCCCTCCGCAGAGATCGTGATCCTCGGCGACTTCAACGCCCATCACGCCGAATGGCTCGGTTCACGTTTAACCGATCATGCGGGGAGATCTGTTCGTGATTTTGCCTTGGCATATGGTCTGACACAACTGGTTACTTCGCCTACGCGGATTCCAGATGTGGAGGATCATGCACCTTCCCTGTTGGACCTTCTGCTGACCTCTCACCCGGACGGATATCAGATTTCCGTCGACGCCCCTTTAGGCTCCTCGGATCATTGTCTTGTCCGGAGTGTGGTGCCACTCACGCTGAAATCGCGGTTGCATTCTGCAGGCTGCCGCCGTGTTTGGCACTATAGGTCAGCTGATTGGGATGGGATGCGGTCTTTCTTTGCATCCTACCCTTGGGGGCGGGTTTGCTTCTCGCCGGATGATCCCAACGTTGTTGCGGATTCTGTCGCTGATGTGGTACTTCAGGGTATGGAACTTTTTATTCCTTCCTCTGTGGTGCCCATTGGAGGCAAATCTCAGCCATGGTTTGGTCGCTCCTGTAAAATAGCATCATGCTATAAGCAGGAGTGCTACCAAGCCTGGGCTGACGCATCAGCGTCCAGGGATGTAAACACCAGCGCTCTAAAAAGAAGTATAATTCCGCCTCTAGGTCCTTCAAAAGAGTCATTGCCAAGGCAAAGTCAGAGCACATAGGCAGAATTGGCGAGAGACTAGTTCGTCTTCCTTCTGGAACCCGTGCATTCTGGTCTCTCGGCAAAGCTGTCCAGGGGAATTTCTGTCAGCCATCTCTTCCATCTCTGCACAGGGAGGACGACTCACTGGCCCACACCGCAAAGGAGAAAGCCGATCTTCTAGGCTCTTTCTTTGCGTCTAACTCGACTCTCGATGACGGGGGGAGTACGCCGCCGACCATCCCGCGGTGTGAGTGCTCCATGCCGGAAGTGCAGTTCACTCAGCGCTCGGTTCGCAAAGCACTCCTCTCCCTGGACATCCATAAGTCGAGTGGGCCTGATGGAATCCCCCCAATTGTGCTGAGGACGTGTGCTCCAGAGTTGGCACCGGTTTTAACGCGTCTTTTCCGGTACTCCTACTCCCTAGGCGTAGTCCCAAAATCATGGAAGACGGCTTTCGTCCACCCGATCCCTAAAAAAGGCGACCGCTCAGACCCGTCCAACTACCGGCCTATCGCCATCACCTCCTTGTTCTCCAAAACAATGGAGTCCATTGTAAACTGCCAGCTCATGAGGTACCTTGAGGATCACCAGCTGATTAGTGACCGCCAATACGGTTTTCGCCGTGGTAGGTCAGCTGGTGATCTTCTGGTCTACCTAACTCACAGATGGGCGGAGGCAGTAGAGTCCAAGGGGGAGGCATTGGCCGTTAGTTTGGACATTGCGAAGGCCTTCGATCGGGTTTGGCACAAAGCGCTTCTTTCGAAGCTCCCTTCCTATGGGCTTCCCGAGAAATTGTGCGATTGGATCACCAGTTTTCTTGCAGATCGGAGCATCAAGGTCGTTGTAGACGGTGCAAGCTCCGATTGCAAGCTTATTAATGCTGGTGTTCCACAGGGCTGCGTGCTATCGCCAACGCTGTTTCTTCTGCATATCAATGATATGTTGCAAACCCGTAGCATTCATTGCTATGCAGATGACAGCACTGGTGATGCTCTTTACACCGGCCGAGCAAATATTTCTCGGGAAAACGTCTCTGAGTGCCGGGACAAACTTGTGTCTGAAGTCGAGTCTCTGCTGGACAGAGTCTCGGATTGGGGGCGACTAAATCTAGTCCAGTTTAACCCCCAGAAGACACAAGTTTGCGCGTTAACCGCTAAAAAGAACCCCTTTGTCGTATCCCCTCAGTTTCAAGGCACTCCCCTTGTTGCCTCAGCCAGTATCGGAATCCTCGGCGTCGACATATCGAGTGACGTGCAGTTTCGTGGTCACTTGGAAGGGAAGGCCAAATTGGCCTCTAAAAAGCTTGGCGTGCTCAGCAGAGCGGGACAGTATTTCATGCCGGCACACCGCCTGCAACTTTACAAGGCGCAGGTTCGGCCGCTCATGGAATACTGTTCCCATCTCTGGGCTGGGGCTCCCCAGTACCAGCTCCTTCCACTTGACCGCATCCAGCGCAGAGCGGCTCGAATCGTCGACGACCGAGTGCTTTCCGATCGGCTCGATTCACTGGCGCTGCGAAGAGATGTTGCATCTCTTTGCGTATTTTATCGCATCTATCACGGGGAGTGCTCTGAGGAATTGTTCGGATTAATCCCAGCCGCCAAATTTCGTGAACGCACTACACGGCAAACGTCCCGATACCATCCACACCATCTGGATGCTTGGCGGTCCACCACTGTACGTTTCAAAAGGAGTTTTCTTCCGCGTACAACCTCTCTGTGGAATAATTTACCACCGGTGATTTTTCCGGACCGATACGACCTGGGGACCTTCAAGAAAAGAGCTTACTCCTTTCTAAAGGGCCGGCAACGCACCTGCAATTCCCCTGGTGTTGCGGTTGATCATGGGCGGCGGTAGTCACTTAACATCAGGTGAGCCACATGCTCGTTTGCCCCCTCTTCTATAAAAAAAAAAAAAAAAAAAAAATGTAGCAATTTCCAATTCATATAATCATGCTTTCGGTTGTCATACCAATTGTCAGAATTTTTATTGCGAAAGCAAAAAAACAAGTGAAGATGTCACTGTCAAACTGAAAGATACGGCGTTAGAAAATCAAATAAAGTTTATAGTCTGCTCTATTGCAGCTAATGCACGAAGTCTTATTGAAGACGTGGACAGCAATCGTTGTGAACAGTTTAACGCCATAATTGCAAAGTGTATCGGTGGTAAACGCATAAACTTTTGTCTTCGGCGTTCATATCAGACCAGATGCGCTACGGCAGTCGTATCATTTAATACAAAAAGACCTTTGTATAAGCTCCAAAGATCTATTCTTGGTGTGAGCCCAATGTCAAAATCAAAATACCTGGAATTGCGAAAACTAAAAAAGAAACGGTTTCAAGCCTAAAATGCAACCCAGAAAGCTTGTTTATCAACAGAAAGAGAAGATGAAAATTACGGTCAAAATTATATGAAGCCTGATTTGCATACAGAAGATTTAGAAAGAATGAAAAAAACATTTTTAACAAATTTGGAGAAATCTGACGAAGAAAGAATTAATATTGAAAGGGAAACAGTCCTCCAGAGTGATTGTAGTAAATGGATGGAAATACGAAGGAATTTGTTAACGGCTTCCAATTTCGGCAAAATTATAAACAAGAGGAGCACGACGTCAGGTAGTATAGTTAAAAGTTTACTGTATCAAAAAGATCTCTCTGGTGTTACCTCCATCAAACATGGTAAAATTAATGAAAAAATTGCTTTGAATCAACTAGAGCAGCAAGAAAACATTAAAATTATGCCCTGTGGGCTATTCATCGATAAAAACCATCCATTTTTAGGAGCAACTCCTGACGGTGTGATAGATGACAATAGGATTGTAGAAATAAAATGTCCAGTATCAGGCTACAGAACTAGCTTGGAAGATGCTGTGAAAAACAGGAAAATTACTTTCTGGAAGTATGATAATGGCCAAATGTTGATCAATAAGAAACATCACTGGTATTTCCAAGTGCAAGGACAGTTAAATATTACAGGAAGGAGAGAGTGTCTTTTTGCCGTGTGGGTTAGTTCAAATCAACAGATAAAAACAGAAATAATACAATGCGACCAAAGACTGTGGAATGATCATATGGTTCCCAAACTAAAAACATTTTACTTGGAATCTTTACTGCCGGAATTGTTGGATCCGCGAAAAACACGTAATATGCCCTTGAGAAAAATAAGTCCTCCGACCACAATCAAAGAAAAACCCAAGAAAAGAAAACATAATTCAATAAATTCTCATTTTGCCAAGGTCCCAAAAACGCAGGAAAGAACCGACAATTACGACATGACAGATATACAACAATGTAAGCAATCCATTGTACATTTCAATAATATGTAAAATAAATTGGTAAATCCAGTTGGGCATGCCTTAAGCGCATTAAAAAATTTACGTATAACATGATTATATATGATTAACATATATATGATTATACGGAATTTTTTAAAGTAGTTTAAATACATTTCGACAGCACTATCGGCTTCAACACCCTCGAAACCCATGAAAATGACACCCATGATGAAAAAATTTATACCTATTGCAGCCGCCACCTTGGATTTACATTTCGACAGCACTATC